GTAGGTTGATAAGGCAGTAGAACTGGTCAATGTGTTGGTGTGTAAGAAGATAGACTGGTGGTTGGGGAGTGTTGGTGGTTACTAGATAATGGAGGCAGGTAAAGTGAGAAGTATAATTAGAGTTAGGAGATGAGATGATAGGTTTGTTGGACTGATAGAAAGGTCATTGAGTAGGAGGGGTCTGTACTGTAAATGAAAAGACAGATAATGTCAATGAGTGTGAATATTTTATATTTCAAAACAATATCGGTGTATTAAACAAAAAGTCACTGCCGTTCCATTAGAATATATATCAATAAAACTAAGGATAAAATATATTCAGAAAATTATTAAATAAATGATTAATAAAATAAAAGAAATCTGCATAATTAACACAGAAAGTGAGCAGAGCTTTTACACCAATAGTGCATTTGAAAACACTATCTCCACTATCTTGGCTGTTTTATTCAATAGTTTGTGTTGTAACAAAAACATCCCACAGTGTTGCTGCTGTTTTCATTAGGGATGTTAAAATTTCTCTGAACTCCTGACATTAACTACCCATTAGGACAGAGACACACTGAGCTGCAGTGAGAAAACACAACACTGGCTGACTACTGGGCAGCTGCCTGTACTGGAAAATCATTATGCATTAACAGATCAGCTGGATCAGTACATGTTATGAGTACAAGTATGAGTATTTAAATAGGGTAGCTCCCCAATGCTGATACTGGTCTTGGTGCATTCCTAGAGATAATGCTAGGTGGGAGGATGTTAGGTAAGGAAATAGGATTTGTAAAAAGGGATGTAGGTTTGAACGGACCATTTGTAGGAAAGGATGTAGGTTGATAGGCAAAAAGCAGGAAATGTAGGTGGGAAGATGGATACACATGTGGGAAGCAAAGTGTGTGCTTTAAATGCATTTGTAATGGTGAACATGTGGGATTCCCTGAATCCACATTAATTCCACATTAAAACCAAATGTTCTAAAGTTGACTCAACAAACAAAATTGATTTGATTTCAATGTTTGGTACAGCTCCAATGTAGCAGATCGACTTTGTCCCTTATATCATTAAGGGATGTATGCACATTTGCATATGTGTGATTCTCATACCTGCAGGAATTCATCTATTTCTACTTGTCCATTCTTATTGAGGTCCACTTCATTAAGGATCTCATGGAGTGCATTTTCATCAATGTTGACATTGATGCTCTGCAGAATATAGATAGAAAAATAGTATAAATTAATGTTGTCCAACAAGCTAGAATGTTAAAGTTAAACTGAATTGACATTTAGTTCTGCATCACCTTAGAGAACAGAAGTGCTATGTGACTAGAATAAAGACAGAAAGAAAATTCCACTCACCTCCAAAACCTGTTGAACGTCGACGGTGGTGATGAATCCTTTGCTCTCCTTGTCAAATTTGTGGAACCGCTTCTTGTATCTGTTGACAGAAGAATGTGAGCAGTTATGGTTTTTAGCACATGTTGGAAAACACAATAAAAATCAACAATCATTATCGTTTTTAGGTTGAATTTATATTTGATTGAGTCCTGGAACCAAACCAACCCTGTGTTTTTGTTCCATGATGCTGGTTTAATTTGTTGGATGATTGAAATTTAGCAATTACCTGGCGACCTCCTGGTTGTCTAAGTTGATGTCAGATGTTTTAGTCAGCTGCTCAGAACGAGACCTGTAGCCCATCTCATGGTACAAAAACTTCTTAGCAGCTTCAAGTTCTGCCTAGTTTTTCAATAATCAGAGACAGGGAGGAGACAACACCAGCTTATTGTCAGATTTAGATCTTTCTTCTCTGTCATATAGGAAAGAACAACATTTAAATAAACTAAAATTGTAAAAATCTCACCGTCTTCTTTTCCTGACTCCAGCCAAGCTCCTTCCCCATGATCTGGACGATGCGGGGCAGAGCTTCATCTGCTGCCTGCACATTCAAAAAGCCCAGACGTGTCCTGCGAGCAATGACATCAGTGGCGGTGCAGGCATATTCCTTGATTGCATACAGAACCTAAAAAAAGACATCAGCATCACACACAGGTGACAATATCAAGACAGACTGAGGCATTTTGCTGTTAGGCATTTGTCAACATTCCCACCTACCTCACTTTCTATGTAAGGAAACTCTGACACCAGTCGTTTCCCCACGATCGGCCATCTTTGTCCCGTGACCTGAGCCATCTTTGCCACTTCAAATGCTCTTCCACCATAGGTGGAAGCCAAGTGCTGAGCTACCTGTGCGCAAATTAAGTAAATAAAAAACAACCAAACAAAAAAAGAATCTTACTGACAGATCACAGCCATAACTAGTGAAATCAGCACAGTTCTTTCACTTTGGTCATCTGTTGATGTGGCGACTATAAAACAGCTTGTAGACTGTCAGTGTGAAGCTGCTCCTGATATTGGTACCAATGACTCCACCTCTCTGTAGTGAAGGCATGAACATTAGCCCCACTTTGTCTGTCGACTGTGATGGTGTGACAGAACACGAGCAGTCTATTTGTTATTCAGATCGTCGGCCTGCCTCTCCTGTTGAAAGGGCAACAGTTGTCCAAATATCAACAGTGACCTTTTAGGAATATTCCAGAGAACAGTGGAGCTGCAGCCAAATGGCTCTAATGAGGAGTAAGTACACCGTGGGCTCGCACAGCACGAGTACTTTTTCTTTGTGAAACAATGTCCTTTCGGGTTTAATGAAAACACTCAGGCCAATTATTGGAAAGATGGCATGTAGGTGATGTAAATCAATGCGCCATCTACTTAATGCCATTGATAAATTGTTCAACACCAGAGTGTGTTTCCACGTGTGTCCAGTCCTTTGTGCAGCAGAAATGTCAGCGTTGTTACAGAAGCTGCTTTAATGTCAGCTCCTCTGCTGCTGCTGGAGAAGATGGTGACTGTGGCTGGGTGAACACAGTCACATGTTAGTGTAGGGACGTGTGTTTGGTGTCTACAGTATGTAGTCATTGGTTTACCCTTTTCTTCACCTTGCTACACCAAAAAAGTCAATTGTTCTTTATGTCCCAACTGCTGCTAAAAATGTCTGAAAAGTTTTATTATAAAAGGCTTATTATTAGTTCCATAGATGTGCACATCATCTTGAATTTTTTTTCTGTGAGCTTCTACGTAAATAGACTCAACATTGACATTAAAGGATGCACCGTTATTTGTCTGTCTGATATTCATACTTCAAGTGTCAGCTCCAACTGGACAAAGAACAAAAACCTGATCTTTGTAAAAATGAGGTCAATGTTTCTCACCTCCATCTCCAGACCATAGTCCTGCACTAGACGGATGTAGAGGGTCGGTGTCCATCCCTTGGCCCCCTCCAGCATCAGACCAATAGACTTGCAGGACTCTGCTGGCAGATTGTGGGCTTTGATGGCTGCGTCCAGAGTTTCTTCAGCCATAGACCTGTATGTGGTCCACTTCCCACCTGAACACAGATGGAAATTGTGTCATGGTAAAAAAAAAGTGATTCAAACAAATCAGTTAAAAAAAAAACAACAGAAAGGTACTGACCAGCAATAGTGACCAGTCCACCGTCACTGATGCTGACGATGTGGTTCCTGCAGATGGACTGAGTGTCCTTAGAGTTGGGATCAGTCACCAGTGGGCGGATGCCGCTCCAGGCTGCGAGCACATCACCTCGACGCACTTTGTGCACAACACAGAAGCAAATACATCTTTTAGATGGTCAGAAACAAACATGAATATATTTTCCAAGTCAAAAGTCAAGTCCTGTATATGCAATAAATAGGGAGGGCTCAATCTGATACTCAGAATCCAGGTAGTTCTAATAGTGGTCAAAATTTAAGGATTGAACCTTGAAGAAAAAATCCAATCTGATACATAAGTCTAAATGCTTAACTTTACTTTGCGTGACATGTTGTAAACAGGGACATTATTGCCCCTGCGACAGGAGGAGAAAAGAAAGTACTGTATACCTTCTACATCAGGGCTGAGGTAGTTGCGGACTTCTCTCAGAATGAAGTTGATGTCGTCCTCGCCAGGAATTGGATGAGCTGTCACACTAGTGGGACTGTCAGTCGTTCCGGCGACAGTCATCTTCTCCCAGGGCAGGAAGAATATGACACGTCCGTCACTTGTGGCTGGATCCAGCAGACCCATGTTGTCAGGACTGAGGAACAGAGGGGTTGTTACTCGTGAAAGGCAAAGGTGAAGCAATTGAGAAGTAGAAGGTAAGAAAACAAGAGAATGGACCTGAGGAGTAAGGNGCATCAGGATGACAGGAGTAAAGGAAAGAAAGAATTAGGTGGTTGGCATTTTCGTCCGCTGTTCAAAGGGCTCTCGCTCCCTCGGGTTTTCGCTCAATAAGCTGTGCTGAACTTTAAAAACCCTCAAACTTTAACAAAACCACTCTATTGCTCTGCAGTATCATAACCAGAGGAGATTGGTCTACGCTTGTGAGTATAGGTCAGACAATAGTTTAGCAGGCTTACTATTTACACATGGATAAAGAAAGAACAGTGCCATGAATTTTTAAGGCAGCACATTTGTAATAAATGTTTCTGGAAAAGAAATGAAAATTGGGGTCACACTGCAGTGGGTTGTAGCTGTGAATACCTGTAGTAACCAGGAATGACGATGTGAACACCTGCACTGGGCTGACAGATGTTTCTGGTTTCCTGGTTGTCCATCTTCCTCAGTGAGTCTGTGAATGGTCCAGTGGCGTTGATCACACATTTGGCCTTGACATCAAACTCCTCTCCTGTTTTAAAGACAGGATCAACTTAGCTTTGGACTTCAAAGAAGTTATCATTTCAAACGTTGGGCTTAGGTGCTGTGTTGACCTGCTGTCTTCCTATCCATTCACTGGGATAAGTGATACATTTTCTCAGAGATGATGGTGGAAGTACATTTAAATGCACAGACTGGATTTCAGGATATAATGAGTCATTTGACAAAGCCACTTTGGGGACCGGCCATCCAAATAAAAAGAAATAAAAATCTAATTTTTACTTTCTCTATAATTTGATGTTTATTTTGGAATCTAGTCACGGGCCAAATTGGGTGATTAGGTAGGCTGGATTCGGCCTGTGGGCAATCAGTTGATGTTCATTGATCATAAGTGTGACAAACTATCCTGACCTCAATTTCCAATGTCAGTTAGAAATATTCAAAGCCAAACTACAATTACTGTAATCATATTAATGTCATAACCAAGACATCTTCTGTCTTCTGTGCATCGTGTGTGAGATAGATGGTGTTTTTAAGTCACATTGATGAAAATGTAATATGTTATGTTCTGTTTAATACTGTGACTAATAGCAACACCCTTTAAATGCACAATGATATTTGTCCTCACCTGTGATGGTGTCCCTGCAGCGGGCACCACACACTTTCTCTTTGCCAGTCTGTGGGTCTGTTGTCTTTAACAGGTTAACGACCTCAGTGTAGTTAGTGAGGCAGGCACCATAGCGAGCAGCAGTCAGGGCGATAGCCAGGTTCATACGGGCATCATTGTGTTGACCTACAAAGTTCAGTGACAATGTGTGTGTCAGAAATTTGGATCCTGTACATATTTGTACATTAAACTGAAGGATAATGGCAGCATTCTTCTGTCATCACAGATTTCATTCATAGTGCATTTTGTCAAGTGTAAAACTCAAATAGCTTATTTTCTGCTTCTCTGGGAGAAATGGCGGCTTTTAAGCCAGTCGGACCGCTGCTGCTTCCTCTGCGTTCTACATTTCCAGGAGAGAAGGTCAGATTTTGAAATGTCAGGGGCATGATTGTGCCAGACGGTATAATTGGAGTAGAGACCCTCCACCCCTGCAACAGCGTGGATCTGATTTACTCAGAGCAGGTGATGGTAAGAAACTCAAGGAGATGGAAATCAAGGAAACATACTGCAGCCAGTGTGAAGAAAATCCAGTTAAATCCTGACATTTATGCTTTACAATTAATGACAAATGGTTCAAATCACGGCATGGGTGATTTATTTATCAGAGATGAGTATCACATGTTAACAACAGATCTACAGCGTAAATACACAATACAAAGGTTGAATAATCAGCTGAAATAGTCAATGTCATTTTTTCTTTGAGATTTAAAACTAATAATAGTGAGTCTCCTTTAGTGATCACATCAAAACTTCCACCTGAAGTGTCTTAAATATAGCAAAAGAAAAAAAGACAAAAAAATCAAATACAGACATAGAACAACCTTGCTCTAAATTTAGTTAGTTGATTAAAACCAAAAAGTATTTTATAAACATACTTTTTGACACAATAACTTTCTTATAACCTATTGTCTGAATACTTTATAAAATAACCTTTCGTACCATTTTCGTATTATTTTGGTCTCTGCACTTAAATTAGCCTTCAGAAGCATGTTTGTTTAGAAGAGGATATCTATGTTCCAACAGTTGAAAATGCACATTAGTTTTGCAGCCAGAGGGAAGCGAAGCCTCAAACCAGTCTGTCAACATGTCAACACCAAAGGCTGGTGTGAGCTTTAATCTCTAAGCAGGATCCATTATAAAACCAACAGAAAACCAACTTAAATGCACCAAAAAGGTTATGTTTGCACAAGAACTAAAACAGGAAAAAAGGGAAAAGGCAGCAACACTGACTCAGCTGCTTTTTTGTGTTTACAGAAAATAAAGACAGAGTGGCCTTTAGGATTCCACAAAACATGTGAACTGGAGAATAGACAAACGCTTTGAAAAATATCTTACCATCGTAGTAGACAATTGCTCCCACCAGTCTGTCCTTCTTCAGCATTGGGAACAGCTCCAAAGCTTTGGTCTTACTGAGGACATAGCTGCTTTTCAAACAGTGTATTCCAGCCACTAAGTCATACATCTTGATCCCTGCCCAGTAGTAGGGTAACTGCCACCATCTGGAGAATCAAAACAGAAGGTAAAGGAAAGTGCAAAAACTGAAATTGTGAGGTTAATTTGTTCTGCAGTCTCATTTTTCTGATGATAGAGTAGTTTACTTGTAAACAGGCAACATGATTGGAAGTGGTGCAGACAGGTGAGGTGCGATCTCCAAGAGGTTGGCTCTCTCATGGAGGGCCTCTTTGACCATCTTGTACTGATTTAGACGTGAAGAGAATGTAAAAGACAAATGATGAAAGAAGAACATCAATGAGAAGAGACAAAGACAAGGAATGAAATGAAATGAAAAGGAGAAGAAACCTGCTCATAGTCCAGCTGCATGATAGCCTTCTGAAGATAACGTACTCCACCGTGGATCAGCTTGGTGCTGCGGCTGCTGGTCCCAGAAGAGAAATCGCTTCTCTCTACCAGGGCAGTTTTGAGGTCTGAATAGAAACAAATCATTCAATCTGAATCACACGTTACTTGAAGAGAAAAGGTAGTTCTAAAGGCAACTTGGACAAAGAGAATAGGATTTATGAACTTACTGCGTGTGACCGCGTCTAAGGCACATCCTGCCCCTGTTGCACCTCCTCCAACAATCAGGACATCAAACTCCTCAGTGCTTTTTAGCGTCCTGAGCTGGGCCTGTCGGCTGGGGAGTTCGTCCGCAAAGGGAACCTTCAGCTCAGCTTCTGCTGTCACATGGGCTAGTCGGGCCTGATTATGACACATGAACACAAGCAACACAAACACAGTATGGTCTGCACCTTCAGGATTAAACTGAACTTCCTTAATTGTTTATTACTATAAAACATTTCCGCCAGAGTAGGTACACTTCCTAAAAGCCAAAATATAGTCTGTTAATTCGTGGACTTGTTTATCATGCATTAAAAACAGAGGGACAAAGAAAAGGAAAACTGAAAGTAACCTCAGGAAATGTCCTTCAGCTAAAGTTTGTGGTGACAGGTTTGTGTTTCAAGATTGAAAAACGATTACAACAATAAGTAAAGGTCCATGTGCATAACCAAACTGTAGATTCTTGTTTTTATTGCATTTCAAAGAAGGTGTACCAACACTTTTGGAGACAGGGGTTTCATATTAGTTTCTATGTTATTACCTATATTGAAATTATCTTTGCTCTCTTTGTAAGCATTATTACGTTGCAACACTTGCCCAGTGCATTTGTAAACACAATAAGCACAATCACTTTCAACAGTTTAGTAGCATTACTTTGTCAGAGTGTAATATAATGTATATTAGTTGTCTGATATTGAATAGTGTTTTGGTGTAATTTTTTTGGTGGAAACAGTGAAGTTAGCGAAAACATGTAACATTTGTTATGTTAAAATGCCTGGACAAATGAATGATGTAGAGAAGTTATCTTTGAAGCTTGAACCTATTCATTGAATTTGTTTGATGAACATCCGTTATAAACTGATTTGGCAACTCATTGAACTAATGTAGCACACTTGTCACAAGCGACGATAGGCTGATTCAGTCTAAATGGGACTGGATTATAGAACAGGCTATAGAAGTTGAGACATAATATGATAAATAAATATAAAGTGTTAAAAAATTTACCAAAACCATGAAAGAGACCCCTCCCACTTTTGAAAATCTGAATCTGAATTTCTGAAGATCTTCCTGGAACTAAGTGATACCACAGTGTGCTTAGGTGTCAATTTTCCCCTTTAACGTACAAGTGTCGCCATAAAACTCTAAGTTTCAATAGTAGCACAAGTTTCCTATGGATTTAATCTTGAGGCAACAGGCTGCTCATTTTGAAGATCATCTTTTATCATTGTGTGATTAGAAAAAAAGAGAAGAAAATCAGAACTGCAATAAAAACACACAAAGGCCAGTATAATGGTGTGGGCTTTCATATTATTCAATTCTCTACTCATCAGTTCAAACAAAATGATTGCATCAAGCAGCTTCGAAGCAAGCGGAACATTTGACTTGCAAATGGTAGCAGCTTTTGTGATTCAAAGCCTGCAACTGCAAACGAGCTGATGGTATAATCATTGTCTATTTTTTGAGACAGAGAATTAAGTGTCAGCGAGGCCCCCTCCACGTAATCAAGTTCAGCCAGCGAAGAGCACAGCAAGGTCCATGCTTATCGGCCATGTTCGTGAAAACTTCTCAAAGCCATGTGCTCATGATATAAGAGAGCAGACAAGACATTTGTTTCATCAACGTTGCAATTACAGAGTTAGGTGCATGCATGATTATCAACTATTGTGAAAATGATTAGGTATCATCTGGGTCGAAATTGTGGCTTACCAATCCAGGCTTGGTTGAGAGGACGAAGATGGGCAAGAGAAGACATTATTGTGCCAGAACAAAAACAGAGTTCAAATTAGGTTGTACAGTCAAATAGAGGCTAGTATGTAGTTGTGTGACAGACCTCAAACAAGCCCATGTCAGGTCAGGGGTAACACAGCTGCTTGTCTATTTTAAATGACATGTGGTTATTTTTACATGTACATGACATCACCCTGTGTTTAAGTTTTGAGGACAGAGACACTGGGATATAAGGCTAACACCCCTGAAAGCACCACCAGTTGAGAGGTCAATTTCTAAATGTCAGTCTTCAAGCAGCAGGTTTGTTGCATGACTTGTACAACATTATCATTGTATAATGTGTCCGCAACGATGGGCATTCAGGTACCATCGGACATTTGAGAATGTTAGCTTCCTCATGTTTATAAAAATGTTTATGTCTGACTTTTAACTTGTTTTGAACTTTTTCTCTCAACTACAGGAAACATAAACAAATGCACCTTACCCACTTACAAAACTGCAATCTCCAGTGTCTGTTAGTGCCTAAAAAACTAGATGTTTCCTGTCTCTCACATTTAATATTTGGAAAAAAAAACAAGGTATACAAAAATGCAAAACATAAAGGTACCAAATGTGTATAATCATTTAAACACCTCAAGGGCAAATGCAATGACATTCCAAGATCTTGAAAGAACTTGCCTTGAACAGTAGCTCATCTTGTCTATGTAAACTTTTTATCAGAACAGAAAAAAAATCTGCTCTTAAAATGATACTACTATGGTATGCACAGTAAAGATTTTGAAAGTGTCCCTAACTGCTCTTTATCAGCTTACCTGTGTTTTCTTGTACTCGATCAACTGTGAGAGGCCCAAAAACGTGGCGGCTGCCCCACCCCCTATGAGCACGGTGTGCTTCAGTGCCTTCCTGAACGCCATTGGCCCTGCAGACAGAGTGGAGTGTGGTGAGAAGACAGAGCCTAGACACCTGGACTACCCAGGCAGCAGGCCTCTGACATGACAGGTGATCATGTGACAGAATGTGCTCTTTCACAGAAGGAAGTACTGAATGCAGTGTCAGAGGGGAGGTTCTTAAAACCCAAGCTGGGTTGGGCAAGAAGAACTAGAAGACGCTGAAGAATGCTGTCAATGCGTGCTGGTGTCTGTTTACATCACCTCTAGCTCTAAGTCAAAACAAACGTAACTTTTCAAACTCAGAAACAAACTTGTCAAATTGTCTTTTCGGATGACTGCACGTATGTCTACGATAGCAGATTATCCAACTTTTCACTCATCTTGCTAAAATCTACTGATTAGAGGTGAGATCAAAAGGTTAAACCAAGTGTTCCCAAGTGTTCTGTTAACTCAAAACATTTTCCATGGGGTCAAAGTTGTAGCTTTGTGCAACCTCATCCTTTTAGACATAGTTGCTTGCCACTTTTAGATTATAATCGAGCTGTTGTTTAACTGTAAACGTAACAAAAAACCTGTTCTGCGCTCATATCCTTTTCACACCTCCTTGTTTCTTTTTGCCGATTGTCCTTTGGGTTACACTCCTTTCCCTTTTTTTCTCCAAATATAGGAGGCATTTTGATGGCTTAAGAATTCTACAGTTTAAAAAACAATGTAATCTAAATATTGGTGCATGATGCTTCAGATCCAGACTGGTCAAAGTCATTTATGTGTGTCTGGGAAGTTATTTGCACAGAATAACTTCCTAGTGCAAAATGATTGGCTCCAAAATCAGTAAGAGGTGTGATCAGGACCAGTCATGGCCATGTTGATTACTGGCTAGTCAACTGGTGCATCTCTAAATTTGATATATGTTCATTATGTGCAGTAACTCTGGCCACGCAGTTAAAATATATATTGCAGGAAATTTGTAATGATAAAACTATGATTTTATTTTTTTCTTGATCATGGTGAATTTGGCTTTTCAAGGAAATATGTAATATTTTCCATATTTAAGTAAAATGTTTTGGTTAATGTTTTTGTGTATTATATATTGAGTTAAAGTGATGGACAGAAGACTCTTTAAAGTGTTTGCTATAGGGCAAGCAAAAATAGCAAACTTTATATTTAGTGTTTAGCATAAGCACCTGTTACAACAACTTCTCCATGCCTTTATAATGACCTCCATTCCATAATGAGCATAACATGACACCGTCCTGTCTGACAGGACTGGGGCCTCAATTCCTTCAGGGAGCTGTGCAAAAAAAAGATCAGCATTGTGACTGTATCACATGGTAAATAGAGATTCCCAAGGAGTGGCAAAGACGGAAGCAGATTCTAATGCATTTTAATAAAACACAATCACAGATGGCACAAATGTGAACAACTGGTTTGGCCAATGACAAAAACAAGTTGTTTTTTTTAACTGGAGAAACAAATATGAATATAACTAACCAGGTTTTGGCACAGATTTTGATTTGAGATCACGCAAATGCTAAAATTGAATGTCTTGAATAATTTAACTTTTAAATTAGAAACACACCAGTAAAATTTAATTAAGGAGAGCAGTCACCTTTACACAATTGCAATGTTATTTAAAAATTGTTCCCCATATTTCAACTTGGAAATACTATGTATCCCTCAGTCCTACAAATACTGTGTTAGTATGTTCTAACAAAGTAGTAAATAGTTTGTAGTAAATAAGCAGATGTTTCCATAGTATCACATTTGGAGAAAGAAAAATCACCTACAACTGCATTTTGTGTTGCCTTCAAAACCCCTATACTATCAGATAATGCTCAGTGGTATACACTGACCCTAGCATTAGCTTTCACACCCTTTCAAAGAGGCTGCTCATTACTGCAGACTGTAAAGGCCACATATGACAACAATTAGCCCTGAACAACCCACTGACAGGAATCTGCTAGAGGTGTAGTTCAGCTGGAAGAACCACAAGACTGTGTAATTGTTGTGTTCAACCCTGAGGTTGTATGCTCAACTGTATTCATCAATTTGTCTGTGTGCACCTTAATTTAAAGAGCTAAGGAAAAAGTTTTATACATTTAAGAAGGTCTATTGGCCATGACAGTATTAAAAACATTTTGGGAAACAATGAAGTTTTCAATTATGTTAAATTCTACATCCTGCTGTTAAAAAGTGGCAATTCTTGACTTGAAGATGTTTTTCATATTTGTAATAAATATGTTGTAAACAGCCAGCACAGAAATGCTGAAAAAATACAACAAGTGATGCAGGCCAGTCTAACATCACGTTCTTGTTTTTCATGTTTATTCTGTACACCCTCTTCTAAACTAGTAATAAACTTCAGGTGCATTACTGCCACACAGTAGGTGGTGTGTGTGCATCAGTGTTACAGGTATGCAATGTAATGTAAATGTAATGTTTGTTAATAGGGAACTGATAAAGTTGCAATATTAAATGCGTCATTTTTCTATTTTTTTACGTATTAAAAACTTTATCCCGCCACTTTGCAATTCCTGTATCATATTTACATTTACGGTCTTTTTTATTTAAAGCGGCGTCTATTTTCCCAGGGACCTACTCAAACCGGCTGATAATGCTGTCCACTTTTTTAAAAACTGTTTCTCCTTCTTAAAAACTGTCTTTGTAATTATTCAGGAAATGGGCAAGTGTACGGGAGTCCTTCCCTGGCATTCTGGGAAAACCCTTAAACCGTCGAGCTGAATGTGTGCTGTCACTTACATCAGCCAGCAGATTCATTATGAATCAGCAGGGGAAGGTATGTGTCAGTGTGTACGTGCGCGCCCGCGCGAGTGTGCACGTGAAAGAGAAATAGAAGAAAACGTGAAGCAACAGACCAAAATACTCGATAGGAATTTAGCTTTAAAAACGAAACAATGACACACAGAAGATGAAGAGCAGCACTCGTGTGTGCGGTAGTAACTGGTATTTGACACAACATACCTGTCCCTGTGTTGTTGTATAGCACAGTAGATT